CTAGGGGCACAGCAGCAGCAGTTTAATATTTCGTTGACATCATGTCCTAATTTGGACAGTGCGGAAATCGGGAATTCTGATTTATTTAGCTGCTTCTTCCCATTGTTGTCTTGTGACCTTGGGCAGCGTTAATCTCATCTGTAAAATGGGGATAAGGGTATGGATGCTGTCATTTGAAAAAAAAAAAACACAACAACCAAACCCAACAGCTTCAGAAAAATGTTTTGGGAAAGAAACGTGCATCAGGGCTAACTATCACTGCGGTGGACTAGGAAAAATTGCTGTCACGGGGATGTTTGTTCCTCCTGCAAGGCCTAAGAAAAAATTACACGACTTTGACCAGGTTGTGGTTTAATAACCCTCAAATCCTTAAAAAAAAAATCATAGTTTCTGTCCTGTTGCTGGAATGTTGCTGTAAGGCCTTATTGCGTCTATCTTGTTCTGCTGCCGTGATTTCTGTGTGGTTGTAAAGTTTGCAGGTTCGGCACTGTCTTTGCCTCTCCGCTGATGTAGCCGTCTCGTAATGGCTCACTGCTTGCGATGACGAGCAGTGGTGGGTACAACAGGTTTTGAAAGCAAATATTTAAAAAATAGTATGTTTTGCAGGCTCTCAAGCCATAAGAAATGGGTTAAATGCAGAGAAAGACACATTTTTATGTTCTGCCGCACAAAAACGAGCACTCTGCATTTGAAAATTGTGGTAACTTAGAACAGGAGGTCGAAAGGGGGGGAGGTGGGACGCGCAGGTGCTAAGGTACCTTAACTGCCTGCATCTGGAGAGGAGAAGTGGTGGCAGGAGCTCCGTCTGACATGTGTGGTGTGTTGGGCAGCGTTTGTGGTGCGAGAGGTTTTTTTCTTCCTAGACAGCAGTGTTTCATGTTGCAGCCTACAGCTGGCTTTCCAAAATAATGTGTTAGCTAAAGCTGCTTGTGTAATGAAATAGTGGTTGTCCCTATTATGGACCATGTGCCTGATGAAAAATCCATGTTTCTAGCTGAAGGCGTGTGGTTGTCTAGAGGCAGAGAACGTGATTCTTTCTCTCTGCAACACTTGCAGAAAAGATTGGGCACTATTGTGAGAAAGATGGTGGTAACGCTTCTGCAGAAATCCTCATTAGTTACCGCTGGGGGCTTGGGTGGAGATGAAGACAGCAGTTAAAATCTGAAGAGTCTTAGGTGATTTGAGAAACCCTTCCTTTAGCATTTGACTGCTGCTCAGGTGAATCAGTTTATAATATGGCATCAATTTAAATTGCAAGTAAAATAGACACGTTTATATTCCTCACTTTTATCTGCATGCGTGCAGCCCACACCAGTGAAGTTGCACAGGCAGCAACAGCTCTCTGTGTCTTAGCACTGCTGCCACGCTGCATTTTGCACCAGATTCCTCATCCTCAGTTTTTGTCTCTGAGCAGCCAGCGTGGGTTTGCGCTGAGGGCTTGCTCAGGTGTGGTGCCTGAGCCAGGAGCTCACGGGGTTGTGCTGGAAGGTGCAGCCGGTGCACGGGTCTCTTTTTGCAGGGGAGGTGACTGTCCCTCAAGAGCTGACTCCTTTTGTAGAGGCCCATGTGGTTTGCCCACCATTATCTGGTAAAACGGAGGTGTTGGAAATGCATGGGGTTTGTGATAGTGAAACGTTTGATTTTTTTAAAACACAAGTTCCTACTTGGTTGTTCAGACTGTACAGCAGGACATAAGTGCCTTAAAATAGCTTCCAAAATTCCTTCAGAAGTCATGGATGTTTTTTTAAGTATGCATGCCTTCTGATAGCCCTTGGTGAATTTGCAGTTTACCTCAGTGTAGATTTCCAGCTCGGTTTTATGCTCTGAAAAGGAAGATTTTATGATTTTTGCCTGTTTCCAGTCCCCCTGTGTTTCTTTTTAGTGCAGCTACGAGGGTGTTGAAGACATTCTGGAGTAGAGGGGAGGGACCACAGGGCCAATGGCTGTTGTTATTGTCGTGGTTTATTCTTTCCTGTTCTTCCCTGTACCTCCAAATGTGTCTCCTGCAGTTGGGAATGGCCTCCTTGCTTGGGGTCTGTGGGCAGGATTTTGAAATGTAAGGCACTATTGTAAATAAAGGAGTGTGGACAACTTAAAGACAATAAAACACGGGAGTTTAGCGTGCCTGCATCTTATGAAGTTACCCCTCAGAGAAAGGGAGGAAAGAAATGGATTCCCAGATGTTCTAACCAGTGCAAAGATGGACGGGGGGGTGGGATCAGAGTAAGCGTTTGGCTGCTCTGCCCATGAGGTCAAATAGATTTGAGTCGCAAAGGCATTGCAGTCGCTGTGTTTGCATTATTTTTACCTTACGTATGTGTTTTTCTCAAGAATGCCGTTTGTGTTATAAAATAATTTAAATAATTTCCAAGGCTTTCCTTATGGTAGAGGATTTTGCAATTCCAAGTAAACTGGAATTTTGCAGATTAAAAGAGAATACTTTAACAACTCTAGACTTTCTTTTTCACTTACAAATGGTGGTTTCTCATGATACTGCTTATTACTACCTTGTAATTAGTGGTTCTTCTCATAATACTGCTCTTGCTACTTCTCGGATACTGTTACATTTCCTTAGTAAGCCAGTTTCTCAGTCACTTGATTCCTGACCCAGGAGTTTAATGAGATGTAGGAGGTTTTTGAGAGGACAGGCTCTTGGTTCTAGGTCAGGGATTGCCTCCCGCAGTGCTGAGGTGCCTGGGGCGCGCTGGGGTTCGCAGGGCACAGGAGGAGGTGTCTGAACTCCTGGTGTGCACCTGCGGGTGTTCCTGAGCCCCTGCAGCACCAGCGGGCAGTGGAAGGACCCCCCTCGTGTTGCGCTGGGACGGGGCAGCAGCCGTTCTGGCTGCCCGTGCTGCGGTGACCGATGGTCGTTGAAGCTGCTGCTCCGTGCAGGGAATCTGTGAGGCTTCCGGAGAACTTCTAGATAATCGTGACTGGAAGTGCTCAATAAAATAACCTCTGGATGTTTGCCATTGAGGAGTAGTTTACCAGTGTTTGTTTTGTTTCAGTCTTGGCAAAGGAAATGCATCTTAAAAAAATATCTTGACCAATGTTTTAAATTATTTTGTTTTTAGGAACAGATATTGCTGCCGGAGAGGAGGTTGCAATTAAGTTGGAATGTGTGAAAACCAAACATCCTCAGCTCCACATCGAGAGTAAAATCTACAAAATGATGCAGGGTGGAGGCAAGCACTTTGTTTCCTTCTTCAGATGTTGAACGGGTTTGATGTGTTTGATGTATTCAAGGGTTAAGATCTCTCTTGACACAAGGAGGAGCTGGGGAAGGTGGCAGGGTGAGGGTTGGTGAGGAGCAGTACCCCAGCTCTCCTGTGAGCGATACAGAGCAGCCATTCCAGATCCGTGGCTGCCAGACTTCATGAGAACCTGCAGTGTTGCTTGTGGTCCCAGAATATTGAAATGTGAAAACCTTGAGCAATGTGGAAGAAGGCTTGGTCCTGCCTGGCAGTGCACCGGTTGGCTTCTGTTTGTCATGGGTCGGTGAAAGGTGGTAGCCACTGTTCTAGAGCATCTAACTTGACTTGCTTATTGTAGTAGCACAATTCTAAACGCAGTAAATTCAGGTTAATTTTTGTTATATTTGTTGGTATTCTTTCTTCCAAGTTAAAAATATGTGGGAATATATTTCTGTGGGAATTCTAAGTCAAAATGGCATTAGTGGAGCACAGGAGTGGAGTGATTTCATGGCTCCAGCGTGGTGCTCCGCTGGGACCGCTGACTCACACAGTCTGAGTTCTGCAGATGGGACATAAACCCAGTGCAGTGACGTTTTGCTTTTGTTTCATAGTCCCTTGAAGTCTTCCTAAATGAGACTACATGCTACAGTGTATCTCAAATGCAAAATACAGTAATCTTGCATCTAGAAATGGATGATAATGTGTATCTGCATTTATTTACTTTTTGGTTGCTGCCTGCATGTAACCTGGATGGGCATCGTGGAGTAAAATGCTTCCTGTATGGGCTTTAGTGAGCCGTGGTGGTGGGTTCCTTGTGAGGGTGGGTGCTGCAGAGGCGGGTGGCAGAACCATCTGAATAAGGGTTGGTCTGTGAAGGGAATTCAGGAAGTTCTGAGGAAGAGGGAAAAGACTATTTTGGGACCTGTGTTGCCATAATTTTGTACTGGTTCTGCTGTGAAAATGTAAAACATTCACATTAATGACCCTCTTAGAATTCATCGTAAAAGCCTTGAAGATTTGTGTGTATGAACTGTATAAATCAAATTGTTATACTGAATAAATGGTTTCCCTTTTTCTAGTGGGTATTCCCACAATTAAGTGGTGTGGAGCTGAAGGGGACTACAACGTAATGGTGATGGAGCTGTTGGGACCCAGTCTTGAAGATCTCTTCAATTTTTGTTCAAGGAAATTCAGTCTCAAGACAGTCCTATTGCTCGCTGACCAAATGGTAGGAAGCTGCTTCGTTGACTGCTGTGTTGAGTGTGTTGGGATATTAAAATTTCGTGAGATCATAACCAACTACATTTTATTTCTGTAATTTAGAGGTGAACAGATTGTATAATTAGAGGAGAGCCTCAGAATTAGTCTTGTTTCTGTAAATATGAAGTGCCCCATCAGAAGTGATTGCAAAGTCTTAATTTGATTTTTAAAAACTGGACCTGTGCTGTTTGCAAACCAGGTCTTGCACTGCTCAAACTCAAGGAGATTCCCCCAAGAAAGATTTTGGAAACAAATGTAATGGAAAGAGCTGGCATTAACGTCTATCTGTTGTCTTCTAAATTATGCTCTCTTTAATGCCCTTACATTTTACAATAATAAGTTTCTTTACCTCTTTTATCACTGAGACAGTGTTGCTGGTGTTTTTATAAGAAAAGAGGTGCTCGCCCAATCTCTCTATGGTAATTTTTTTCTTTTTTTAATCCTCTGTATTTAGATTAGTCGAATTGAATATATTCACTCTAAGAACTTCATCCACCGAGACGTGAAGCCGGATAACTTCTTAATGGGGCTGGGGAAGAAAGGCAATCTTGTCTACATAATAGACTTTGGATTAGCAAAGAAGTATCGAGACGCTCGAACTCACCAACATATTCCATATCGTGAAAATAAAAACCTAACAGGAACTGCCCGTTACGCATCCATCAACACTCATCTTGGAATTGGTGAGCTGGGGAAAGCAATAAATGGAAACTGCAGAAGTGTGAATGCACATAATTTTAGTGAGAGTTTCTTTATGGAGACATAGAAGACAATCCCCGTTTTGGCACTGACCGTGCAGCGTGCGTGGCGTTGTATCTCTCAAGTGGGTGGGATTTGGTCAGTTTGTGATTTTCAGGAACTGGCACATTTTTTAGTAACTGCAAGGGACATGGGCTTTTTCTTGTACTAGGTGAGTTTGTCACGGGCATAGTAACGCTCAACTATCTCTTGCTTTTCTAAGGGTTTTTATGACAGTCTTGTTGCATAGTCTTTTGTTTTCACAGTAGAAAATGAAACCTAATGAGTCCACTTTTTTATGCTGTTGTAGAGCAATCTCGCAGAGATGACTTGGAGTCCTTGGGCTATGTACTGATGTATTTTAACCTGGGCTCCCTCCCCTGGCAGGGACTGAAAGCAGCTACAAAGAGGCAGAAATACGAACGTATCAGTGAAAAGAAAATGTCTACACCAATTGAGGTTTTGTGTAAAGGATATCCTTGTAAGTTACTCTTTTGTGGTACTAGGCCTACGTCTTCATGTTTTAGTGGTATTTCTTTCTTTACACTGAATTCTATCAGTCTGTTTTACTTCTCTCTTTTTTTTTTTTCCCTTCATCCTCCCCCATGATTGGGCATGTCCATGATAAAGATACTGTGCTTTCAAGACTGGGGTCTTTGTGTTGATAGTCCATTTCTAATTATCACGTAACTATTAGTGAACAGTCACTGCGGTGCCCTTGAGTTGAAGGATAGCTTGATATGTCTGATTTGCGCTGTGTTGTGTGCATGCGTCTGTGCTGGCTGGGTAACTCTTAACAGATAAATAGCTTTTTGAGAAACCCCCCATGTCTGCACACACGTGGGTACTGTTTCTTGGGCGACTCGAATGGTGTGATCAGACGCGCCTCTGGCCTGTTGCAGTTGCTTCATTTGGGAATCGTCATTCCAAGTTCACCCAGTCTGGCCCATTGATGCTCAGCATCTGTGAGAGCCATAAGAGACGCCAGATCCTGGCGTTGCACCTCCAGGCTGCTCTGGTGCTCAGTTTACTTACTTACACCACAGTAATAACTAGGGATTTTTGAGCCCTGCAAAATGACACTTGAACCTGTTTTAAAACTTGCTAACATTAGCTGCCGTCAGAGAACGTTATTGATCTTTCATGAGTGTTTCTGTCTCTGTTCTTTCCACGCTCTTGGCGTTGGCAGCTGGGCATGGTAATGAGAACTGTCGTTTTTATTAGAGTTCTGTGAAAACTGTCTTCGATCTGTTTCGAATGTTGCTTATGTGTTCCTTTACAGTAATTAACTGTGTTTTTTCTCTGGGGTTAACAGGCAGGGAAGACTAACCAACTTTTCTTGTGTTGTTTGTTAGATTTTTTTTCCTTAATGTAAATTATTTATATATTATTATATCTATTATTTCAGCTGAAAAGACTTGAACTCAAAAGCTGGTGTTTTGATACTGCTGTTATCTCTGGCACATTGAATTCACAATATTATTTTTTGCTGTGTAACTAATATTTCGCATGCCATATGAAAACAGGTGTTCGGATGACTTCAAATCTAAAATTGTAGTGTGACTTACATGGGAAATTTATACAGGTCCCCTCGTTTTTGTGTGTTCTGTGAGGTAGCAGACGTGAATCTTTGTGTGACTTAACAACAAAGAGGTACTGTTCCGTGTCCTGCAAGAAACTGTGTTTAAATACATTCAAAGCAAAGTAAAGCAAAAAAAAAATACTTTATTTGCTCGTGTAGTTTTCAACCTGTCCTTGTCCACACCTCCAGCTACTGGTTAAAGAACTCTGGTACTGGGTCCTTTCTGCTGGTGACGAATGGGATCTTTGCCTACTCTGTCGTAGACAAATAATTTTCTTTTCAGGGTTGGTTTGATAGATGGGCTATAGTGTTGCCTTCAGTAGATTTCTAGTATTAGTTAGTCTTTTTCTTGTGTTTAGAACATTCACTGTTTGTTGGATTTGCGGTGGTGTGTTGTTTTGGGGTTTTTTTTGCAATTCAGAATTATAAAAAACAAATGTGAAGCTGAAGGAAAAAACCAGATTTTCTTTTATTACAGCTGAATTTGCCACATACTTGAATTTCTGCCGTTCTTTGCGTTTTGATGACAAACCGGACTATTCCTATCTAAGGCAGTTATTCAGAAACCTCTTCCACAGACAAGGGTTCTCCTATGACTATGTGTTTGACTGGAACATGCTGAAATTTGTGAGTAGCTGACATAGTTTCAAAGCCTTTTTTTTCTTTACTACATTGTCAGTTTTGAGTATCGTAAGTGATCCTGTGAGATTGTCTTGCGTTTTTCCACAGCATTGGAATCTAGAAACGCTGTGATCTAGAAAAAGGATCAGGAAATGAGGGAAGACAGGGACGCAGGAGCCGTGGGGTGGGGTTGAGTGGCGACTGAGCTGCAGTGACAGGGTTTGAAGGTGTCGGGCTGCTGAGATCCTGCAGGGCAGTCTCCAGGTCAGGTTGTGGAATGATTATTTGCTCCCACCTTGATCTTAGCGCAGGTCATTTGGAGCTGCTGAGGGGTGTCCAGCTGCCATAACTCTGTGTGTGCGCATTAGCATTTTGAAGGCTGTCCCAGCAGTTGTATGGATGAAATTTGTGGCAGTTCTCCAGAAATTTTACCAAAATAATTGCTGTCCTAGCAAACTTCAATTCACGGGTTGTCCAGTTCTTTATTTTCAGTATTTTTATCTGAATGTATAGCTGTAAGCTCAATAATCCCCCAAGTTGTTCACTAGTCTTGACCCATAGGGTGCAAGCAGAGCAGCTGAAGATGCTGAACGTGAAAGGCGAGAACGAGAGGAAAGGCTGAGACATACGCGAAATCCAGCGGTGCGTGGGCTGCCTTCCACTGCGTCTGGCAGGCTGAGAGGAACACAAGATGTAGCTCCTTCTACTCCTCTTACCCCAACTTCACATGCTGGTAAGTGAGCAAGTACCTGGAGAAATGCACCTTGCAGACTACTCTAATTTGCGGTTTGTTCCTGGTCATTGGAAATTTGAAATTGGAATTGGGATACCTGGGTGGGTGGTATTTGTCTCTGGTCAGGGTTTGGGTTTTTTGCATGTCTTTTTCTCCCCCTTGCTTTTCAGTAGATTGAAGGTACTTGTATACACTTATTACCTGCCAATTGCTACTTAGATTTCTGTAAATGTAAAACAAAGGCCTTGATTTCTCTTGTTTGCCTCTGTGGAAGTTCTGTATGTGAACAGCGAGAGTGTAATTTTTCTGGTGACCGTGCTATAATCCCGTTTCTCGTTATGAGAACCTAACGCAGTTTTTCTCACAGCCAACACCTCTCCTCGGCCAGTGTCTGGTATGGAGCGAGAAAGGAAAGTGAGTATGAGATTGCATCGTGGTGCCCCCGTCAATATCTCGTCGTCTGACTTAACAGGCCGACAAGATACCTCTCGCATGTCAACTTCACAGGTAAAAAACGATTTGTATGTAATGGGAAAGTGAGGGTGATTTGATAAAGTTAATTTGCCAAAAGAACATACCAGCTAATTGAAGTGATTTCATACTGATTTTTTTTTTACTGATTATGTTGACTTGCATAAATACTTGACATTTTAACTCTATGTGATATGGCTGTAGACTACTATAAAGAAAATTAGTATTTTTTTTTACCTTGGCAGCAATAAGCATAAAGTACTCCAAGTAATACAGAGTCATTGGTGTGTGAGATGGTGCAAATTCCTAGAAATACAGCATTTTTACCTGCAGTTATGTTGTTTAGCTCATGTGCTCATTGCATTTATTATATCTGTTATCAATGAGGAAGCAGAGTAAGTTAGAGGCAATTGTGTCATGTTTCCAGAGCAACAGCGCAGAGAATATTGGTGCAGATAGAAGTAGTGAAGAACAGGAAAGTGCAAAAGTGAAGACACGTTGTAGTGCAGTGCTGTAATTCAGAGCAGAGGAGAAGTCACAGTCGCGGATGGTGGATAGGTTGCAGAAGGCTTATTTGAAGAGGATGGCAGGAGGATGAACAGCAGTGATTCCTTGCCATAGTCAGCACTGAAATAATTCTCACTGGTTATGGTGACTTAGCAAAGAGATTGTAAGAATGCTGCTCTTTAAGACTGACAATGTGTAAATCTACTTTTTACTCTTCATGCTATAGCCAAAACATTCTTTTTTCAGGGTATTCACACAGACTTGTCCTAAGTAGTATGTGACCTGGCTTTGTACAGCTTGCCTTCAGTCTTACCTCCAGAATGGGGCATCGCCTGTGCTGTGGGCACACTGCGGAGGTACTGGGAATGCAGTCTGTTATGAGGACTGGTGCAGTCGCCTGGGGCTTTCCCATCACGCCTGAACGCTGTGCTGGAGTTCTCACTGCCCAAGTTTTGCCATGGACTCATTTGATTCCTTGTTGGCGGAGCGTATTGATAAAAATTAACACAGTTCCTTTCGGCTTCATCATTTAATTGGCAGAATTAGTTATTTTGGATAGTACGTGTTCCACATATAAGATCTGACTGCCAGAGGGAATGCTCTCTTAGGTGGAAGCCAGATGGATATCTGTAATGAAGGCTGAGGGTGAACTGGATTGGAGAATAAATTTTGCTGTAACAAAAGTGAAGTGGGATTTTTTGGGTTGGTTTTCAGCTGAATGAATTATTTTACCATGTAGCTGCACAAATGTTTGTGCTTGCACAAGGGATGACCTGTTCAGGAACACAACTGACTGAAAGAGAATAGGAGACAGGTGAGATTTTCTGTCTTGGCTTTGGTAGCAGTTTTTGCCAGCTTAAATTGTTCACTCACTGCACTACAATTCTCGTCACCAGAAATTCTCTTGTTGAAATATTTTATGGCTGAAATTTGTAAACAGTATGAAAGAAAAGAGGGTAGAACTCTGCATAGTTACGAATCTTGTAAATATGCATAGCTACCTGATAGAAGGATGTAAAGAAGTTGCAGCCAGACCCTTCTCAGCGATATCCAGTGAATGGACGATGGGCAGTGGGCACAAATTGCCATACAAGGATTACTCGGAATGCAGTTGGACGTTGTCATGAGCCTGCTCTGGTTGGGTGCAGTTTGAGGGGTGGGATTTAACATGGGGATCTGCAGGGGTCCCCTCTGGCCTCAGCTGCTCTGTGAGGTGCGGACACCGAGCTCCCTCTGAACGTTTACTCAAATGTAAAGATGGTTTTGTGGTCAAGTAAATATGCCCAGGGTTTGTCTGGCATTCTGAGCAAATCTCAGATGCTTTGTCTCTGTCACCCATCAGATAAATAATTAATGGGACTCACAGAAATAAGTGCAGTGATGTTACTTGACTATGTTAGGAGGGAGTATATATTTTGGGTTTTTTTGTTTTATTGCTAACATGTAACTCAGTGTCCACATGACACTTTTCTAAACATTGTAAGGTACGAGTAATTCGGATGGGCTTGCAGATAGATTTTGTTTCTGCCTAACCAGTAAAATGGGAATTCTCTGAGACTGTGTGAGATCGTGGGGTTTTTTTGAGTAGTCTCTGAATATCCAGATGTATAATTTGTAGTGTGGGCCAACAATTTGGTCTGACTTAATGGCACATTTTCATACCCACCCTTTTTAACACTCTGCTTGACTTCTTAGCAATCCCAGTTGCAGCCTAGTCAGGATCTCCTCGAGGTTTGTTAGACTTAATCATTCCTCATCCGTTGTCTTCATTTAGTTCGTGTCAAGGCAGTGAAGCACTGCTGGTCTCCACTCATGGTGACTGTAGTATAATTTAAATAGCTTCCCATGAGCCCCTCGGATTTGGAAGGCAAGAGACATTTACCTAGATTTTACCTTATAACTCTTCCCCCTGAGCTCATTAGAGAAAATTCACTCTTCATTTTCCCTGTTCGTGCTTACTCAGAGCAGGCAAGATGGCTCAAGTTGCAAGTTTTCGTAGCTTACGCTCTTATCTTCGCAACATTAAAGTATTTCTTCCGTAATCAGAATTTATCCTTAGATGTTAACCAGGTTACCAGACAAAGCCAGGGGTTCCCGTTATCTTTATGCCTTGTTCTTAGTCAGGAAGACCTAAAGCATCCAACTTGCACAGCAAGTTTGATTTTGGCTAGGTGTAAGATTACAGAAAATCATCCACACTGTTTCTTGTCAGAGAACAGTAAGGGGCAGCAGTGGTTTGTGCAGGCCCACTCCAAGTGTGGTGTTTCCTTTGCAAGTCTTAGGTAAATTTGCCTCCACTGTTCCTTTTTTGGGAAGTGCTTAAACCATACTCCTGGTAGAAGGCAGCTTTTAAAGTTTGCCATGCACATCTGCAGATGTCTTATGTTAAGAACTACGCTTGTTAGAGTTGCTTATAACTTGATAAGTTATGTTTGTTACTTTATTTGGTTTAGTAAGGCAACGTTGCATCTGTAATCTCCACCTCTGTCATCCAGAGGAAGGGCTACTGCTCGATAAACTCTGGGCAGTGGAAATGCACAGATGACAAAAGCTACTTACCTCTCAGGAGGCTTCTTATAGATGACTCCACATTTTTATCTTTCTGGTTTCCAAAATAAATTTTGGTCAGTTCAGACTGAAACTGAAGACTAAGGCTGGGAATGTAGATAATACAAACCAAAATTCTCTAATGGAAAATAGGTCTTCTCAGAGACGTTTCACACTCACAGGGAAAAATAGTAATTGGTAAGGGTAGAAAAATAAGTGTCATGTGTATTCCCCACGTCCAAGATAGTGTGCACATAGTACCCAAATAATTCTCGTTAGAAAGACTAGTGCTTTGTAACATTGTTTATTGGAGTAACGACTAGCACGTCTACAAAGTGGTTAGTGGAACGGAAGTGTTTCTGATGAAATTACGTAAATTCTATGCCACATGTTATTCAGTACTTTTCTCGATTATACGGAAGTGAATGTAACAGTTAAAAACCTGCAAGTTGTGGGATATTTGACAGCGATAAACGTTAGTGAGATTTGAACAGTCAGGTAAAGCCTGTTGAAATAAAATGTGTATTGCTGCTGTACTGCACAACCAGGTTAGGGTGAAGGAGTGGAGCCCGTTGTCTTACATGTGGGAACTATTTCTGTGGTAAGAAATGACTGAGGAGGCTTTAGGCGTGATGTTGGAGAGAACGTAATGTAATCCTTGACTCTGTATGGTACAGTACTGAACAGAAATCGAGAGGTTATTTCACATCATTAATGAGACAGATGTGGGAACATTATGCCCAGTTCAATTCTCAGTATCTATAATTGTTGGAAAACTATAACACAGAAAGGAGCCATGAAAATTCAGTTTGGGAGAACAGATTGTGCAATGCAAGAGCTTCAAAATCGTGTATTTTCAGTTTTTCTGAAAGGTAAGAGATCATCTTGAGTTAGTTGTCGTAGTATTTTAGAGACAGTGATTTTAACAGGAACTGATGTTTACGCAGAAAACATCTGTGAAGAACCTATTGCTTAATACGAGAAGTGGAGCAGAGGTCTAAGGGAAGCTGGTTAGCCACCAAAACAACATATTTTAGAAGCAGATCATCTGCCCCCTTTGCCTGTGCATCAAAACTGGATTCTTTTCTAGGTGGTATAGTCAGGTCTAAAGCAAGCCTAAATTACAGGTCTCAGTGCAACGAAGAGTTGTGGTCTGTGCTGGACAGAAAATCATACCATCTGTTAAGAGATCCTTCTGCTCTCGAGCTCTAGGAGTGAATTGTTATTACGTCTCCTTACGTCAGTCTTAAAATGTTAAGAAACGTAGTGAAGGGGCTCGTGAGTATCCCAGCAAATGCTGCTTTGAGTCAGTTCTCTTGGTCCATGTTGCGCAGACTGCATCTGAAAGCTGTGATCAGGAGTCTAGTTATGGGTGAGTAACCTTCATTTCCCTTCACAGAAGGTTCAATCCTCTAAAAGCCTACCTCAGTGGGACTGGTCATTGTATACAGTAAATTGTTTAATTTTTTTTCCTGAATGTAGCATGTTCAGCACCCAACAGTCACTGCTGTGCATAATTCCTACAGGTAAGGGAGGTGTATTCTCTCTAGTTGGAAGAAAAGATTGGAATGCTGCTCAAAGAAGTGTTTGATTAAGTCTCTTTGACAGGAGAAGTTTTCAGAAGACTGTAGCCAACACTGGCATTGAACAACTTGTGTTTTGCCGCTTCCCTGGGGAAGAAGCTACATCCTTCCAAAGCCTCCATGTTTTCCATCTCCTAATGAGCAAATCTTTCTCCATATGTCCATCTTAATAGGCATCGTATTCTGCGCTGTTCTTCTGACCCTGCCAGCTTTCTTTGAGGAATCATGATTTGTTCCTTTTACGTATATCTTGGTAGGATAGAAATGTCTTACCGAAGTCTGAGATTGGAGCTCCTCAAGATACGTTTGCTGCTGCGAGTTTAGGTTGGGTATTTGTTAGACATCTTTATACATGGGGGCAGTGGAACTGTTACAAATTGCTGTCTTTTCCCCTACCTCAGAATAGCATTCCTTTCGAACACCATGGCAAGTAGCTGCTCGTCTCCTTTCGTTGGAAGGCAGCACTGGGTGAGTGCTTCTCGTTAGACACCAACACTTTGGATGGGGTGGGGAAAAGAAATCTTTGGAAGCAGCTGACCTTGCTGCTTCTCCTTACATTATCTCATAGTTGTACCTGTGCCTTCTGGTCAGATGCTTGATGGAGCACTGCTTTTTCTCTAACTTAAATGTCCTTCCAAAAGTTGAATTATTGCTGCTGTTTCACTTGGACTCTTAAGCACAATTTACAAAAATAGTGACTTTAAAAGTCCCTAAAATTGTTCAAGCATCAACGGTAAAATAAAATAACAAAGTGTAAATTTAAACTGTTTGAGAATAACATGTCTTTCCAGGGATGTTCATGCAGCAGTGTGTCATCCATTCAAAAACAGATCTGCTTCAGAATCGTAAAACCAAAATACTTGTCTGAAGACTCAATTGACCATTACTGAAATGGGGCTGTCTTGTCGTGAATGGAATGTTCTGCTACAGCCCTACCCATTTCTCACTGGTTTACGTTCTTTTCCATTCCTTATGAGCTGTCATTTAAAAAATACTCAGATCTGTTCAGATCTGTGTTTAAAAAAATGTTCACACACTAATGAGAATAGTTTGAACGTGAGCATCTCGGAGGCAGACAGACGTGGATTTGGATATTCAGAACTCCTTTCCACTGTTCGGTGCCATAGCAGTTTCTGCCTTCCCTGTGCAGCTTCTGCCTTTTCAGTCTGTGCTGCTTTTGGCAATAACAGGTTTCATCGGGAAAATAACAAGTTTCAGTTGGAATCTGAACCTTGATGGCTGAAGGATGCTTTCTTAAGTATTTTGGGAGCTTCTTTGCTTTGCTTCTCATTAAAAAAGGCTGTGAGATTTTTCTGTTCCTTAATAAATTCCGTTGTATAACTCTGTCTGCTGCCTCACTTTCTCTGTAAAGCCTAAGCCTGCACTAATCCTGTGTCATTGGTTGGTGAAGAGCCCTGCTACTCCTCGTCCCTTTTCTCCTGCTTTGTGTGCTTGGCTGACTGTGCACAAGCTGCTTTGTGAACAGTTTGTAACATGGAAAAGATCAAACTGTTAATGGCAGCTTAACACTTTAAAGTCCAATTATCAAACCTTATCCAAAACCAAAATTTAAAGTATCTTTAAAAAAGGCAAACCTTGAGCTTTGCATTGCAAGCTTGTGCTCGGGAGACGTGCAGATTTTGGTCTGCTCAGGATTGCGTCTGCATTGGTTGGCCTTTACTGTATGCCTTACTATTTGTAGCTGTTAACAACTGAAATTAATACTGAATACTGATTCAGCTACTTTGACATTTCTCGCTTCTTGAATTGCTGTGATGTCTGGTTGCTTTTCACTTTCACAGTGAAAATGTTCTTGAAATAATGTTACACTGTTACTGAAGTAGGTCAAGTTATGGAAATTAATGGTGTGTCTTTTAGCACAATGTCCCATGGAAAATGAAAAGCCGTTGAAAATAATTTTTTTTACCCTCATGTTGGAATTTTTTTCCCCAAACTTAATTATTCACTGAGTCTGTTTCTGCACACTGATAGAGGTTTCATCTGGTTTGTTCTTCTTCTGTGCATGTTTATGCTCTGTTTACTTTTCTTCAAAACATCACCTCTGGCTGCAAAGGTGAATTTTCCATGTTAACTTCTAATAAAGGAGGAAAATAGAGGGAACTTCGTGTAGTTACAGGTGGGTGCGAAACATTGTATAGTTCATTGGATTTTAAATTCACACGCTGACTTTTGGCAATGCTGTATTTGAAAGTACATTGAGAGCCCCTCACGTGTTAACGGGAAGGATCTATGCTGATGTTGTCTTGTTTTTTGGCTTTGGTAGATTCCTGCTCGGGTCACTCCCAGTGTGCTCCAGTCTGCTGTGCACCGATGAGAACTGTGTTGCCGTGGAGGGCAGATAATGCATGGCTGATCTCCTATGTTACCAATGGCTTTACTAGCAAAAATCCCCTAAACTAGAGTGGAAATGTGACGGTTGGAGTTCTCCATGTGACTTAAGGGCACTTGGAGGAACAGGGACAGACTCCAGCAGCTGCCGTTGCAGGACGCTTGTGCCAGAAACCCAATGACCTTAAGAGAGCCCTGTGGTGACAGGGCTGGAAAAGAAAGATGGTTTACAGAGTGGACCGCCTGCATTCGGATGGCCGTTTCAGTTCTCCCTCCACAGGCGGCAGACTTTACCCCCTTTTTATTATTCTACTGTAACTATAAATCTTTTACTTGGTTTAAGGAAGTTTTTTGTATCATTTTGCTAAAATTATTGGCTTAATTCTCTGTAAAGAACTCTTGCTTTTGTCTGATTTAAAAATGTAGAATATAAACAAACCTAAATACAATGACTTGAAATTTCTTGTTAAAAAAAAATTAGTCTGGCAGGGAACATGTAAATGAATCAAAACCATCTGACTTTATTTAAGCTGTTTGCTTATTTGTATGGTCCCGTTCTGACTGAGACTGTTTTCTCATGAAATTTGTAAAACTGTTAGAATTTTACTTTGCTGTTTGCTGTCGTCATTCACACTCAACTTTCCGTGTAACACAAAGGAATTTTAATACTCGTTCTTTTTCATAAAAGAGGAGAAATAAATAACGTGCAGGAGAGTCTAAGTATAGTAGAGATGGTTATAAGTAATTCCTGTTTTTGTAAAGCACATGAAGGACAAAGCGAAAGACTGGCATTTGTGGGGTTTAGAATGCGAAAGCTTGTCCTCTCTCTCTCTGCCTAGTTCGGGTAAATGGAGAGTTTCAAACATAGTTTTTATTGGTACAGTTCAGTTTCCTGCACTCTGAGGCTGGTTAGCTTGGAGGGTATTGCAGGTGGAAAATACACACTGCTACTGAGTCTTCAGTGAATTTGCACGTTTCGTTCAGCATCTGTATGTTTAAAAATAAATAAATACATAGATTCAGGCCCTCTGTTTCATGCCAAGACTCAAAAAACAAACAAAAAAAGAATTATTTTAAAAAAACAAAGCGACCTGTTCTTGCTGTGAAATGTTGAAAATTTTTACAGTTCAGGGCATACCACATTTAACTCCCAACTGTATTCAAACTGAGTACGCCTGGAATGAATGGCTCGACATGCTGAGGTTGTCCAGAAATCGGCTGCAGGTGGTGTTAGCACCTGGTGGTTACGGATTACGGGAGGTTCCTCCTGGCGTCTGTTACTGGAAACAGTCTGATAAAATAGCAGTAGGTGTTCTGTCCTCAGTCCGGTATCAGGCACTGCTCATGTGTGGCTGAAGTGATGGGCAGTTCCATGTTGGAAATGAAAGTGCGTGCAGAGATTTGGTGTGAACAGTTTGGTATTTGGAAAAATTCTTCCCTGCTCGAAAACAAAGTTTTTTAAAGGCCTATTGGTCTTCAAAGTTTTATGAAGAGTAATTTTTATTGTTTTGGTGTTTACAGATTCTTTCTCGTCCCTCTCAAAAGCCCACGTACTAAGTACCCATCACTCTTCTGTGATGTTTTCAGAACATTAGCTACTTGTGTGTGCTCTGGGTCTGACTGGGGAAACCTGTGTTTGAGGAGAGTGTAGTGGAAAAGCTGAAGAGTTTGATCCATGGATAAGTTCGCATAAGGAACTGTTTCCTCAGTTACTATAAACTTCAGTATTTTAGGCATGTGCACTACCACTTGAACAGTTTTACACTTCACTGTGCTTTCCTTGTAAATATCTGTGGTTAATACTGTGCTGTTAGAAGGACGTACCAAGGCAGCCTCTTTATTCTCTGTGTCTGGACCATTAGATTGCTGTACTATACTTAAAAGTTGACTGCAGACTTCTAGAATTGTACTCACTTGTGGGCAGTTTTTGTCCTTCATAATAGTTAAATTCCATCACGCAGAAAATAGACTGTCTATATAAACCTGTGTATTGGAAACCAGTATCTCCGAGCACTCATTTGTACTACCGCTGTATTTGTGTATTTCAACAAGTGTGTAAATACATTCATAATAACTTCTATTCTTCTTTGGTGTAACTTACTTACTTACAATGAATCCTTACTCTTTACCTGGTGTAACTTCTTTCTTCTTTTTTTTTTTAATTTTGAGAGGTTTCTGTGCATACAAAGAGCATTGCCAGTTGCAAATGTTTGATGCCTGTGTCGTGGTACTAAAACTTTGACTGAAGGGTTTTGGTTCTCATGGCCAGAATGCAGCATTTAGGGCGTGCAGGAAGGAGGAGAAGGGGTTCACTGGGTCGCTCACAGAAAGCTTGTCTTTTTGTCTCTTTAAAGGTAAATGTTTTTGTTTCCATCCTGCATCTTTTCCAGAAGTCTTTTTTCCAAATGCTTGCTCTTACCAAGTAATACATTGTACTGATAGGAAGTATAGGAAAAGAATTGCTGTTGAGACTTGATCAGTTACGGAAGCCAGGAAAAAAGCAAGAAAAGTACTGAGTTCTACCCACAGTGCCCTGTGTAATGCAAGTCCTGGCTTTTGCTGTGAAATTCTCAAAAGTCTATTCATAATCTGAGGGCAGATGCATCTTCAGGAATCCTCTGTGTTTCTGATTAGCGGGCCTTTAAAAGTTGTAAGTATATGTAATTCATCCTCACAGTTTTCATTTGGAACTGGCTGTGTGCTTTTATGTGGAAAATACCCCCTGTGCTGCTGTTCTACATCCTCTGGATGGTTACAGAGTTCCCGAATTCTTTGTGCTGCAAGTGCCTTGGAAACAATTGAAAATAAATCCTACACTTTGAGAGATGAAGTAAAAGCATTTCAGGAGTCCATGTATTCCCTGGTAACTTCATGAACGTGCTCAGTCTCCCTCGGAGGACAGCACAGAGAAGTGGAGGCGCCTCGTCCCTCATTCTCCAGCGGGGAGCGGTGCCATCAGCACGGCCGTTCCTTGTCTGTGTTTCCCCACAGTCCAGGCCCGAGTGCCAGCTCCTCCCTAAAATCTGTCCAAGGCAGCACTTTCAGAAATTTAATTTCCCGACAAGAATCTTTGCAGTGAATTTACAGAAGTGTGGGTAGATAATTGGCTAGAGTGTGCATGTACCTTTCAAGAATATTTAATCTTTGTAAAAGAGTGAAATAAAAAGGTGTTTTGTTCTTTAACTTTTGCTTTACAAAAGCAGCACTTGATGAATGCAAAACAAAAATATTTTTTAAGCTAATGTTCTTTGTTAATCTCATTTTGGGAAAATTCTTGACTCAGAATGCGTGGACAAGATCGTATAAGCATAATGGACAAATACTGGCATGTGGAAAAAAGGGAAATTGTGTGTATCGTGCTGAAGCATTAAGCCCCGTTCTACTGTTTCTTTGCTGTGACCAGTCCAGGATAGTTGGGGCAGGGTGGGATGTGGAACAGAACAGGAATTCGTTTGCTGCATTGTGCACTAGCAAGAAAATGTCCAGTCCTGATCTCATAGCCAGACAAAACATTTAGTTTAATTACAGTCCTCAGCGTGGTTCAGAGCTGCAAGTGTTACAGGCAGAAAGGCAAGGCAGAGCTTCTGGTATTTCCCATAATCCTGATAAACCGATCCACAGGATGTTAAGGTCATCCACAGATTTTTTTTTTTTACCTTAAAAGACCCCGAAGAGCAAATGTTTCTCTGCTCTCACTTCTAAGAAGTTGTATTTTAAGTTTGTCTGAAATTGCCAGCCACTGGATCTTATGCCACATTTTTCAGCCAGACTGAGAAATCTTTTGTTACTTAAGAATTTAAAATACTAAAATCTAGATATGCTTCTCGATTGGGTTCAGAGTTTTCCAGTGAAAGCCTTTGAACTGCTGAAACAGCAGTGGGTGGAGAGTCGGAAGAGCAAGAGCCGTTCTCATTTCCTCCTGCTCGAAGCGTTCACCTGGAGGTAGCGAGGACAGCTGCCAGCTGGAGTTGATGGGATGATGCAGCAGAGGTGAGGTCAGAGGAGGATCAAGGAGGTACCTGGAGGTGAGGAGCTTTTCACTCTCTCTGAACTTTCCCCGCTCTCAGACAAGCGCAGGGCTGTGGATGGCACAGACTGCCACGAGCAAGGCACTTCCCAGAGCGCTGGTGCAGAGATGAGCTCTATTCCAGGAGCGTCGAGAAGCCTGCTGCAATGACAGATTCTGTTGCCTCTCATATGCAGGGGCTCTGCTGTTGTCAAAGCTGTTTACTCTTAGAATATGGGTAGGTCACCTTCCTTCTGCAGGTCCAGCAGTGGGGAACAGCAGCTGTGCATCTCAGATTGTGCCCATTTCCCTCCCCTGCAAATGGCCTGACTCCTTGTTTCTGTCAGACTCCGAGTACCAGAGGCAAAGATGCAAACTCTGGTTTTCTGTGTCAAGGATGTGCTGACTGCGTCTTAATCCATCCTGTCGTTTTGGCCCACCCGGTAACATTCATTCCTGCAGCAGCACGGGGCTGGACCTGGTCAGCGGGGTAGCAAAGCCTTTGATTACACCTTAAGTCTTGCCAGTTTAACTAAACTAGCATAAAGAAGGTAATCATATGTTTATGCACACATGTGCTTTTATGTAAACTAGACCTATGATCTTTTCAGTGTAACTATACAGAGAAACTTTTGAAGCTGAGCTTGGAGAGACTTCTCCAAAATTTCTCAGCAGAGATACGCAGAATTAGGCACAAATACGTGTGAGCCTGCGAGATCGCTGCCAGATAGCAAAACATAGCTCTTGTTACACCAAAGAGACTCTCATGGATTCACTTGGGTGTAGCCTTGAGACTATGCCTTGAGGAGCCAGTCTTAGCTGGGGTACACAGGACGCCCAAAACCCCACCGTAAATTAATTCCTAGACTGTGTTTTCTTAGGAGCTTTCAAGTTCTGAAGAGTATCACTTGACACTAGGGACAGCTATTCCCTAACACTCCAAGTGTTTAGGGCTTTATAAATCAGGCAAACAAAACCTGGAGCGCTCTTCAGAGGACAAGAACAATAATTTCTACATGGAGCACCATAAAATCAGTAGCTATTCTTTTTAATGAGTTGATGCTTTATAATCGCAGTCCAGATAATTTACAGCAGGAGCCCGTTTCCATTTTGGAACTGGACAAACTGTGAGTTATGGCAAAAGCGGTCCCCTTGCCCACGTTAAATTCTGTCTGACTGTCAGCTTGGTGTCACCTCTTATTTTCTTCTCTATAAGCACTCTGCTTCCATAGAGGTATTTGAGCATGTGCAAATGAAGCCAAATTTCCAAATCTGGGTGTTGAAGCTACTTTTTCTAAGCTTATTTTCTCACTCCCGTGGTTTTTGACAACCAAGTATTTATTCACTACATTTGCAACAGTTTACTAGAAAAGCATAAAAAAAAATCTAAGTATAAATGTACACATTACATTAAAGTGCATTAACAAGAAACAGAAGTCATCTCGCACAGGACGGAAGTGCGCTCCCGTCATCCTGAAGACGGCTGTGGCAGACACACACACACACACACACACACACACACGGCGGTGCTGGCTGCTGTAGCGGGTAAGAGTTTGTGTTCTCCTGAAATCCCCCTGCCCAACTGGAGCTTTTCCTTGGGACATAACAAAGGTGCGTACGTGAGTGTATTTTGGATTTTCATTTTGAAGCTTGATCGCTTGGTTAGGGGTATGTTTTAATTTCTTTTTAGAGAGTGATTTTCCATTGTCGAACGTGTGTATTTGTTTGAATGGGATTTAATAATAACAAGCACAAGATCTGTCCAGTCCTTCGCACCATACCT